TCTGATAAGAATGAATGACAAGTAGGTATGTCAGTTGATTTGAATGCCACCGCCGAAGTGGCCGTGAAAGTAAGCACATGTTCAGTTCAGTGAGATACTGTTCTAATCTTCAATTGTGGTTTTATTTAATCATCATAATATGAACCAGCGACCGCCACAGCCACCTCTAGAATTAAAAAAGATTACCCTTTTTAGGCTGCAACTCGCCGTTTACAGAGTAGAATGGCTGTTTCCGGCCGCATATCGTTTTTTATATAAATTATTGAAAACTTGGCTATGATGACTTCGAATCAGTCCTATCCTATTAATATTATAAAGGCGAAAGTTTGTAAGTATGGATGTATGGATGTTTGTTACTCTTTCACGAAAAAACTACTGGACGGATTTGGATAAAACTTTACAGCAATATAGGTTATACATCAGAATAACACATAGGGTACTTTTTACTGGGAAAACTTCTCACTCCCACGGGATACCGACTTCCACGCGGACGAAGTCGCGGGCGTCCACTAGTTATTTATATATGAATCATGTTTGTACACGATCTTTATACCTGGGTGAATTCACAGCTACTGTATAAAAATATTGCTTTTCATGATTCATTCCCTAAAATTCAAGCTAATACTTTTATTTAAAACTAATTTTATAATACACATCTAAAGTCCACTACAAAGCTTTAACGGCTTATAGCAGTCAAATCCAATAAGGCGCCAACATTATTTTACTTTATTAAGATGATTTCGTGGGAGTGGCTCGCGGACGCCGTGGTTAGTGCGTTCGGTCTGCAATTCGGAACTTAAGAAACTTTTGCAAGGGCTGGTTATAAGATGGGAAAAAAAATAGCTTGTCCGTGCTTCGGAATGCACTTTAAGCTGTTAGTCTATCTGTAATCGTCAAAACCAACCAATCTGCACTGGACCGGCGACCACGACCCACCAGGGTCATGGCACGTTTTACCCTGCAATGGGGACATTAATAGGCATAGTGATGACGAGAGAGGGTTCACCATGAATTATTGTATCTTACTAGGCAAGGAAGGAGTTTAGATAATTCTTACGTAAGATACAAAAATGCGCTAAGTTACAAGTGACCAACTTTTTTTTTTTTTTTGACGCTGAGAAATGCGTTACGCATACCCGCTTCACCCTGCGCGGGCTCCACGGGTGATGTGGGACTCCTCCTGTGGCCCCACCCCCGAAGGGGCTAGACAAGAAACAGGAGTTTACCCACTAAAACTCAGCGATGTCCTTCGCATGGAAGGCGATGCGCGGGATCAGCCCGAAGGTCATACAAGTGACCAACTTATTATATATTTTTTTTAATTCAGTCATAAGAAGAATTTATTAACATCTGTTAGACAAACTTTTTTAACCTTATATAACAAGTTTTGTTACTCGAAGTCTTTCAAAAGAACAAACAAAGAAAATAACAAAACTTTTTTTCACTAATTTAATTATAGGTACTCTCGCTAACTATCAAAAAATCGTTTCGAAATTGCACTTATAGTCGCAATACATGTAACTCTACCTTTATTAGACCACGTCGCGTGATCAGTGCCCATTCTCCTGTTCTAATTAGCAATTCAAACATATTTAGCTTAATAACAACGACTTAGTTGGTCCCGATTGAGTTTCTTAATAATAATTAATGGTGCTTTATCATTATACCATACCCTTATGGAATATGAGTCGAAATCGGACTGGCCAAACTAGATACGCCTTTACTAAAGTTTTACTAAATTTTGTTAATAAAAAACAAATAAAATGAAATTGACATAAATTCTGTTAAAACGATCGTCTTTATTTTTTTATAATTTGGCAATTTAATTTTTGAATGATATAAGATAAATTCACACAGTTAGCTCAGAACTCAGTGATTACGGCGTTTACTCAGGTAGACTGGCTTAGGAAACAAAACCTCATCACATTAGGCTCCTAACTGACTCATTTCAACCACTGGCCTATTTTATTAGTATGGCAATGGATTCTATGAAAAATTTTATATAATTCTCGTAGAATTCATTGCCAGATCTGGACCAAATTAAAATGAAACCACACGGCAAGCATTAGCTTTCAAATAAAGAAATAATCATCAAAATCAGTCCACCCTGTAAAAAGTTTTGCTATCTCAAACAAAGCAAACAAGAAAAAACATACAGTCGAATTGAGAACCTCCTCCTTTTTTGGACTTCTTACTTACTTCTCTAAAAAAACTTGTAAAAAACATAAATGATTACCCTGACGAACATTAAATGATATTGTTATTCTTATTTATAGTCGTAATATAATTTGATAATCGATTTAATTTGAATATTGACCAGTGTGTATTTTTGATATTCATTGTTGACATTATAGCTTCTTTTTGTTAGTATTAATGAAAATTAAATCAAATGCTAATAACACTGGTAAACAGTATTTTTGTTAAACAAAATCGAGTCGGTTTTTTAAACACTACTACTTACCCGCATATAAACCTCATACTTAGTTTTGTTCAATCACCCTCAGTTTTCGTTAAACATAAACTAAATTGATTACGCGAATTTTGCTTACCGACGTATGTTTCCGATAAATTAATATTGAATTATTGAAATTAAAACGGTTTTTTTTTGTGATTGTCGTTTCTGTACATCGTAATAAGATGCCCAGAGTGTGTGTAAACCATCCTGATAACTTTTGTTACATTTGCGGTCAACTTACTATTAAAAGTCAACGTCGTAATTTGACACCATTAATTAAAAACTGTTATTTTAATTATTTTGGCTTTCCGGTGCGAAATTTGGACAAAACCTGGACTCCTAGTGTTTGTTGTACACAATGTGTTAGTTTATTAACATCATGGGCTAAAGGATCTCGTCATATGCCGTTTGCAGTTCCAATGATATGGTCTGAACAGAAAGACCATGTATCAGATTGTTATTTCTGCCAAACTTCTATCAAAGGTATTAATCACAAATCTAGACACACCGTGAACTATCCGAATTTACAATCTGCTCAAAGATACACTTCTTACACTCTCATTTGCATTTTTTTCCTCAAAATTTGGGAGCCGTTAGTGATGAACACGGCGAGCGATTCCATCAGGATATATCCAACATGGAAAAACGATACCAAGGCAAGTGGAGTCCGAACATGTTGGCTGATTACTGTTGGACACTCAAAAGAGATGTACCTGACGCTAAATATTCCCGAAAATCCTGAATAAAAGTCAAATGTTAGTTGTTTTTCTTGATTAAATTCAATTTTCAACCATATTTACTTAAAAAAAAGTGTATTGCAGTTGCAAGAAAACTGAGGGTGACTGAAACGTTTTAAAAATGCAGATTATTAACAGGCTAATTGTAGATACAAAATATCCCACTCAAATTAATTTAACTTTCATTAAGGTCATTTTTGTCAATCAGTGTAATTTAATGTGAAATGTGACATGTTTATTATAATAACTATTAGTGGAAACTTTACTGATTAATATCTTATTTTAAAATGTTTCATTTGTATTTATTGTAAATATTGTTTGTTTCCCAAATATAATAAAATAAAATATAAGGCCTATAAAATTTTACGAATGGCCTTGCTAGGATACCTGCATCTACAAGGAAAATTTGCAAATCATAGAAATATGAACACTTCGTTTCTAGTTTTTAATAATAAAATAATGATTATCTATTATGTATATAAATACATAATAGAAAATAAATGAAATTATTAATATTATATATAACTTTCATTAATATATTCTTAGTTTGCCGATGGTTAATTATAATATGTAAAGCATTTAATGTTTCATTTAAATAAAAGAGCTTTGTATTTATAATATTGACCTTGCTGGAGCCCTGTTTAATGAAAGGAATCTTTAATAATAATAATATTCTTTATTGCACACTACATCGGACATATACCTAACAAAGAAGCTAGAAAAGGGAAAATAGACAAAACGCAACCTCATTGCTACGTAGCTCTTCCAGGCAACCCAAGACGAAAGAAAAAGATATAAATAAATAGAGGAGAAGGAGGTGCAAGATGAAAGAGTAATGGATATATCTGAATAAGTACTAGAAATATAGGAAATCCAATATAGATATAAAATAATTACATATTATACTATTATGAATGAGTTATCAAGGCAGAGGCAGGAAGTGAGCCTTCACTTGACCAATAAAACAATACAAACTGCGACACACAGGCGCACAGCGCACAGCGTGCACGGAAAATGAGTAGAGAAGGTTAAATTTGAAGAAGAGCGTAAAGAGCACTGTGAAAAGGAGGCATGAAAGGAATTCCATTTTTATAGGTAAGGAGAAGACATAGGTAAGTAAAGGATAGAATAGAGTTACGTAATAAGTAGTATGCGTGTGTATCAACTGTTTGATAAGTTCTAGTTCGTCGTTTTTAAGAAAGGATAAGAGTATATACCAGCTGCGTAGAATAATAACTAAGTGGCGTCATAAGATGTTCCATAGACGATAAAAATAATGTTATTTGTTTCTGGTAAACCTAAATAAATAAAATAAAAATAATTACAAATTCCTGTCTTACTCTTTGCTAATGTTGAAATTCATTGCTTTCGCTTGCCCGATAATAATTACAAATTCCTGTCTTACTCTTTGCTAATGTTGAAATTCATTGCTTTCGCTTGCCCGATTGACATGCTATCGATAACATGAGTTCCTATCTCGCTCACGCTATAGTCGGAACTATAGCTCGGAACCATTTTTGGTCAAAACTAAGTATGCTGTTACTTCCCTTTTTATTTTAAATTTGTTAAATTTTCATATAAAAGAGGATTATTTTCAAAACGAATACTCACGAGAGTGAAATGACTTGGTATATGGATCATAAACAAGAGACGATTACTGTAAAAACATGAATATTCCAACGGACATGACCAAGTTTATCATATCTTACCTGTGGAAAGATCATCATTTATTTCCTATACTACATTTTAAGATCGCCTCTATGAAGAAAACATTGAAACATCGAACTAGGCTATGTGTACTAACATTCCTTTGCCCTAACAACTGACATTGACAGTGACAGACATGTCAAAGAGAGTTCAAATTTACGAGACAAGATCGAAAGTTTTTGCGTTGGTAAAGTAAAATTATTAATGAAATTGTGCCGGTAATATTAAAACTATGTCAGTACCTGACATTTTGTGAATGTACAGAAGTGTGAATTTAATGGGTTACAAATTCAGCGCTTCGAAATGCCTTGGTATTTGTTTAGGTATCACTTTCATCATGGGATGCTATTTGGCCTCCTTACCAATACAGAAGGGTAAATAATTAAAATTTTCTTGTTACATCGATCATAAATTTACTCTTTAAATAATCATTTTGTACTTTAATTTCCAGAAAGAGCGGCTTTACCTAAACCAATAAAACATCAAATAAGCTCGACCATTCCGGTAAAAAGACGTCTAGCTATAATCGTACCGTTCAGAGATCGGTTCGATGAACTGCTAGAATTCGTTCCACATATGTACAATTTCTTGAACAAGCAAAAAATACCTTTCAATATATTTGTTGTGCAACAGAAAGATAACAACCGTTTCAACCGAGCTTCTCTCATTAATGTTGGATTTTTGTGTACCAAACTTGACTATGACTACATTGCGATGCATGACGTAGACTTGATGCCCATTAATGACAATTTAAAGTACAACTATCCAGCCTCGGGTCCATTCCATATATCCTCACCTCAAACACACCCTAAATACCATTACGATACTTTCATTGGAGGTATTTTGTTGATAACGAAAGAACACTATGAACTAGTTGATGGGATGTCCAATAATTATTGGGGATGGGGGTTGGAAGATGATGAATTCTATGTCAGGCTTAGAGATGCGGGTTTGAAAGTAACCAGGCCTGCTAACATCACTACTGGACCCGATAACACCTTCAAGTAAGGAATTTGTTAAAAAATATCTTGATTCTAGCAACTATGAAATTCCCATTGTTTAATTTATGAGTTTGAGAAAGTTTACAATTCTTAAAATAATTGATTTCATATATTTAATTAATCTGTTGTATAATTAACTAACATTGGTATTTAAGCAAATAATCAATATATACTTTTGGTGTCTCGCCACAAGCAATGAAAACTCAAAAAATAGTCTACAGCTATCTCTTAGCAAATAAACCCTTTTTATGTTCTTGTTATATCATGTTATAATAATTATAGGTATTGTGAAGTAGAATTGAAACCTGTACTCTAGAAGTCACACTTGGCCAATTTTTATTTACTTATTTAAGTAGTTTCGAAGTTTAATATCTAAATAATTTACAAGGACAGATAAAACTATCTATAACTAATGAGCCAATAATCTTAGATTATCACTTTGTTATCATTGAAAACTATAATTGATATAATTCTTCCCAACATTTTCTTAGTAAATTCAATTACATGTAGTGTCATAATGAATATCATTTTACTGAAAAACTGTTACATACTTCAAATAAAATAACAAATAAAATTTAAAAAAAAAATACCTTACATCAATCATTATTACCTATTTTATCTCATAAAAACAACAAATATGCAAAATATTTTTTTAGAATAATATCAAACATTATATACATAAGTTATTATTAATCTAATCTTATAGTTATAATTATAACATAGTAATTTCCCCAATTAATGTAATAACTCCCCACTTTTCAGACACATACATGATAAGACATACCGTAGACGCGATATGAGGAAATGTTACAATCAGCGTGAGGTGACACGAAAGAGAGATCGTGTTACAGGTCTACACAATGTAGCATACAAACTATGGAGCACTCACAACGTGACGATCGACCAGCTGCCGATAACTGTGCTGAATGTTGAACTGTTATGCAATAAAACTGCAACACCATGGTGTCAATGTCCAGACCCTGTCAAACCTAAACCTGTCATCAAGCAGACTTGAGTGCCTTAAACAATTTAAATGTGGGAATTTTGCACCACACCAGTTCCAGTTAATTCATACAAAATGCTTGAATAAATGCCTTATGCTAATATTGTAAACGAAATTAAGGTAAATGTGTAACAGAACTTGTAAAAATGACCCCAGCTAACTGAAGACAAACTCACCTTTTTAACTCATTGTTAGAATTATATTAATATTAAGTGATGAATCTGCAATAATTTTAGGATACTATTACATGACAAAACTGTAGTATAATAAGTAAAATAATTGTATGTATGTAAGTAAAAGATATTAATTATATAATTTTAAATTCTAATTAAAATACTTAAAGTTATGTAAAGTTGGAAATAAAAATGATTATTCATAAATAAAATTATATTAACTGCTAGAGAAAACCTAATCGATTACTTTAGCTAAATGATGTAAGCTTTCACTTCTTTGGATTAATAAAGAAGTCGGTCACAAGCTAACACCAATTCATTATAAACTAAAAATGGCCAATTAAGAGTGAAGCAACTGGCATGCAGGACATTGCACCTCATACCACTCTTTAATATATACTTATAACAAGTTAGCCAAATATTGTAAATAGTATACTTATGTATATATATATTGTAGTTAACTATGGTTTATGGTATAAAAATACTTGCTCAAACAAAAAATCACCCAGTTACACAAACGTCCATTAAAATTTCATTAATTTAAAGCGACGTTACCCATACAAATTTGACATTCATTAGAGCTTACAGACGTCATAAAAACTTAATGGATTTTTGTGCAACTGACCGTAAGTATATCAATAACACCTATCATTTAGTGATAAATTTATATACATTAATTTAAAATTATTAGTGGACAATGAGAAATTACTGAAATACCTGTCTACCAGCTGTCAAAAAAAACTGTAATTTTATTCCTATTTTTTTTTCAACTAGTCTATGGTGCCATGTTATTATCGACCACTAGAACTTAGATATTTTGTAAAAAAAATTAATTCATTAATTAACTATTGTATGTAAAATCAAGTTTCAATGCGAAAGGATTTTTATATTGGAATGGCAGTTTGTCTTTTGTATAAAAAGTTATCTGAATTAATATCATTATGTGCATTAAAACGTCATGTTTGGTATTACGTCGTTAAAGGTGATGATGATCATCGATATTATGAAGGTTTGCTTGTTTCGAAAAGGAAAATTACAAACAGCTTCGACATTAAGAAGGAGCTGTTTCATTTATAGAGGGTGCTGCTGTCTAAAATGTCCAAATAACCAATTATATTAGAAAAAGTTTAATCCACTTTCTATCAATAATTCGAAGACTCCTGACAGCTGGGGTAAGCGAAGACTGTATGGCTCCCTCCTCCCACTGCGTACAAGTCGGCAGCACGTCAGGTTATACAAAACTAAAATTTCTAAATTTGATTTTATTGAGAGTAGATTTCCAAATCAATTCCGGATATTTGACTCTCGCTTTCTTCACACTAATTGAATTTTTAATAATACAATAGGTATCAAAATATTCATTTGTAGTTCACAAATTAATATTTTGAGACCTATTGGAGATGAAAATTAATGAAATCGAGCCTTCCTTTATTCGGTCATCGAACAATTAATCAATATTTAATATCTATGTTGACTGTTTTCAGAGTGTATGGAAAGGTTGTTATAAAATAAAAGTCTAATGAACAAATAAATTATTTATTAAGCATACTTGTTCATAGTTATTTCAGGTACACTTTTAAAACAATAGGATAAGCCAATGCAAGTCTACAAAAATCTTAGGCTATTACATCGCAGTTACATATCTGATAACAACTAAAGATATGTATAATGTAACATGGCATTTGTTAAAAAACATATTTATATATTGTTTTTTAACAAATGCCATGTTACATAACGTTGCAATAGGGGTGTAAACAACTTTAATTTTAAAAAATTCCCGCGAAAACGCCTCTTCTGGCATGGCTTTGCTATGACATCACGGAACTTTAAAACGAATATCCTTCTATGTACGTATAAGGTTGAATTCTTTAAGTTCTGATATGAGTGAGCAAGACGTGATGTCACGCGCTATTTGCGATCACGTGACAACGAGCATGAAATATTTGTTTTTTTTTATAATTAATTTAGTGTGATTATCGGTAATAGTATGTTGAACACTACCAGAAAATAAAATTTATTTAATTTCGTTAACTGTCCACACCCGTATTATATTTCACAATAAAAAGAGGAAAACATTTGTATTGTATAAAGAAAACATAAAATAAATAAGTACACTTAAATAAAAATAATTGGCGACAGTTGGGTCTTAATAAAAAGTCACATTTGACACCTATCAATATAAACTTGATAGTGAGGCGTCCTTCTTAAAATGTTCAGTTAATTTAACGAACCGATGTGGTTTTCAAAGAAATGTGATTCGAATGAAGTTATTGTGCATAATTAAAATGAATTTTATGTTTATTATTAATATATTACTTCGTAATAATGTTTATTATTTTATGTATTGCGTCGACATTGTAACAAGAAGAAAATCACAAATTTGTTTTCACTAAGAGAAACTTAAAAGAGTGGATATAAATCATAAACACCTTTTTGTCAAATAGATAGGGACAGAGGATGTCGAGTTGCGAAAAAAAACTGTTTGATGAATTACTCGCAAATTCCATATTACGACTACCTTGTTAACTGCTACATGATTCCTTCGGTCACAAAGTAATTTACGTATTCATCAATTTTCTCTATAAATATGTAATAATTACAATAAGAAATGGAGTAAACTGAGATTTCAGAGGTAACTTTCTTAGTTCTCAGCAAAAAACCAATTGAAAGTTAGCGGTCTATGGTGTTTGGTACATCCTCTTAAATGTAACCAGGGAACACCATTACAAAGTCAATTATATATGAGTTTATTAAATATTTCGATAGTGCAAGTGGTTAGAAATGCAACCCGGTTGTATTTCCTTATTTGTAAATATTTTCGTATTTAAAGGATTTCGCAAATTTTTGGACAGTGATTTTTGGAGTTCAAAACATTTTGAAGAATGAAATTGTTTATAATTTTAGAGATTACAAGATTTTTAATGTGGTTATTGATTCAATTCAGTCCCTATTGTTTAAAAAGTCCACAGACAACATTGTAAAATTGATTTAGTTATATATTTGACAATAAATATATTTTAATAACAAAGAAATTGCCGTAACTTTGAAAAAAAGAATTATATGTTTACTACATTAAAAGGTTATTTTGAAGTTGACACTGAGAGATGTCAAATGTGGCCTATTATAAATAATGACCCAACTGTAGTGCATCATTGCATCTCAATTTGGTCTGACTAAATGTTAAAGATACCTTATCCTGTTTCTATAGAGATGAAAATTGTACACGAGAGCTTCATAAAGCAGACCAATTTGCGCACTTTTTCATTTAAATTTTCTAAATGTGGCTAAAAACTATTAAGTTGCTTGATTATAGTGTACATACTGTAAAAAAATCGTTTAATTGATCCGCTGACCTGACGCAACTCATATACGAATAACAAAAATCTACGGAATCACAAGAAACTATACATTTACAAAGTAGTCACAAAGTAATAATTATAAAATATTGGAATAAGTAAATACCTAACAAAAGGTATACCAAAACGCCGAAAAGCGATATCCCCTTAGGTTTTTCTATTACACTAGAATATCCACATATAGATGCCACTTGCCATTTTTAACAACTCTACTGTCAAAAAATTTAAGATGTTCAACAATTCTGGATTACACAACGTATTTTGAAATTCTATATTATATAATAAGTAGTTAGATACTTATTATTGTAGGTATAGGTATTTGAGAAATTTGCTAAATACATACATTCTTTTGCAGATGTTTCACCCAGTATTGACGAAAGGGTGTTATTTCTGGAACTCTATAAGGAATTGCAACATCTTGAAACCCACAGAATATATTAAAACTTTGTGTTCATCAAAACGACCCGCCAAGAAATCATAAGTGGTGGTTTCGCACTCTCACCATCGGGGTGTACGCCAAGATAGCAGGCACAACAAAATTTAAGAGTCTTATGTATGTCAATAAATAGAGTGTACATAGCATATAGTGCCACTGTAAATTAATATGTTAGA